AATCAAGTCATAAAACTTCACTCAATTGAAATGTCAGTCGCTCCATTGAAATTCAACGACAGCCGCCGCCGCCACTGCTGTTGGAAACAAACAAATCACACAGCAGTAATAAAATCCAGTTCGCAGTCTTTGCAATCATTAACGGAGTCGAATTGTGCACAAAAACATTACACAAGTACAGGTAACAGACACAAATGCTTTCCGAACTGTCAGCACATTGACAGCGCGGCCTGATGAAAACAATATGGCAGCATTGCCAACTATGTTCCTACCAGCGTGTGCGTTGAGCTAGAGCTTCTCTAAACTTGCCGCGAGAATTGGCAATGAAAAAACAAATGGCTATCAAGTTGCTTTATAATTGGCAAGATACAACAATGCCGAAGTCTAAGCGGGCAGCTGGTAACTGCCTGTCCGCGGCCAACTGCTTGGACAGACACTGACTAATTTCCACAAATGGTATAGGCTGTTGCGCACTTTTTCAAGCGGCGAGCGTATGACGAGGAATTCATTCGAGTTGGGCGGAAACTGTTGAAGAGCGAAAACGAGTTGCTGGATGAGAAATGGAGTGAAAATAGTGGCGAACAGTCGGTAGCTGCGGATGGGCATTAAACACAAACAGCGTGGAAAACAGTAAACATCTCTGCAACATTGTGATGGCAGCTTTGCCTGCAAGCTGCAATACGAATATTGATAGCTGAATAACAAAAATCACAACCGCATTACAGACATCGTTAGACAGAAAGCCCTATTAAGCTGGCATTTCAGGGTACTATTTTATATATATAAGGAAATTTTGAAAGTTAGGGGGGGAGGCTCGAGCACCCCCCTGCCCCTACCTGGCTACGCCCATGCACACTAAGTATATGCTGTCTATTTTACTGTTTTCGTCCTCCGTTTTAACTTGCATTAAATCTATCCGATCGACGAATGAATCGAAACAGATTGTTGGGTGTTAAAGAGCTCAAGTGTTCGTCTCCCAACACATTGCTGCCTACAGCCTCATCCCTAATCTTTGCAACGGTCGGGCAGATATACAGACATTACGCCGTCTCATCCTCTTCAGGACAGGAATTGCAAATGTGGATGTCATGTATGACGATCACGGTCACGGTAATATCTTATGAGCCATTAAAAGCCAGATTGTGTTCAGAGAGATATATACATATCTTATCATTATTATAAGTTCTAGGACACGCTTTATGTCTCTATTCCTTGATTAAACATCAATCGAGATTCACAATCTAGCCATCTAAAATATGTTGTTACATGGTCAGCAGATTTTTCTTGGCCTCGCTGGCATTCATGAACGTATTCTACGTATTGGAAACCATTTTACAACAAAAACAAAAACCTTTGTTTACACTTACGGACTAAACGTATCAGCATCATTTTCTTCTTCTGCTACATTTTGATTCTCAGATATCCAAACAAAATTGATTTCGGCGGTATCAGTATGAAAAGTTTGATTAATTAAAGACGAAGTTGCCCCTTTGTTCTCTGTAGATTATGAGGATTCTAAGTTTTCATCTGAAATAAGCAATTTGCCCAGACTATGCGCCTGTTTTTTAAGTTCACACTCTTTTTCTGCCTTTTTTCTATTCTCCGAACCAGAATGTTTTTTCGGGCCCACCTTTTTTATGGTTCTATTCATGCAAACAATGTTTTAACACGCAAACTGATATTTTAGGGTCAAAAGTAGTAAATGAAAAATGATAACTTAAAATCCGTTTGTATGTCGACAAACTTGAGATGTAAATAATCTATTAATCAAAAGACTTACCAATTTTTACTTTAAAATAGCGGAAAAGGATCAAACTGGTGACGGGCACACCTACAATAGGTTTCTTTTTGACTATCAGGCAGGTTCTGCAATTCATTTCCGACTAATTCGCTTTGAATTCAAATTGTCAGGGGTTGAAATTTACTCGAAAGTGAATTGCAGAACCTGCCTGTATATAATGGTTTTGCGGCGATTTCAAATTTTCGCAACAGTTACTGAGCTGTTGCGCCTTCTGAAAATGTCCATTGTTATTTGTGATAAAAAAAGGGACACATATTTTTTTCTAAGTTTTTTTAGTGGTCGCGCTAGTCGGTTTAAAAAAAAAATCGTGGCATGTTAATGTGCGGCTAAAAATGTTTTCTTTACTTGTAATTACTCAGGTATTATTGGGGAATATTCCTTTAATTGCACACCTGTCCTGGACAGTTATAATGAGCCTAGCGCCCAAAAATAGGCTTTCGAAAAGAGACTGCTGAAATTAAAACGTTGATACTAAACGTTTTAAGCATTCAATAGGTTAAAACAACCAGGGAGTTTCTGGAGTCGCTGATTATGCATCTGATGTCAGTTTTTCAAAATTCAAAATGGCGGTAACAATATGGCGATAATTTTTTTAATGATTGCATTTGTTCGAAGCTCGGTACTCGGGAGTTTTTGAGGTCGCTGATTACGAATCTGAAATCAGTTTTTTTAATTCGAAACGGCGGAATTTGGCGATCAATTTATTAAAAAATTACTAAAATTAATACGTTGATATTGAACGTTTTAAGCATTTTCATGGGTTGAAACTCGTTACCAATGGGTTTCTGATAATTTGGTTCCTTTCTTTCAATTTTATTTGTTGCCCGGGAATCTGACATTCAGCCGAGCCCGGGACAATTGACCCTCTGGTCCCCCGTCTCGACGGGGCTGTGCAGCAAGATTTACCGGACTCCATATGCTCCAGAGGCTTTGAACTTATCAAAAGAACCGATAGCCAATTGTACAGATTGCTGAGTAAAGTGGTTTTTCGGAAGCCTTCAATCCGGTGAAGACCGTCTGATTTCTCCCGAGTCCAGCACCAGTTCTATGCGTGCAAGGCATAGCGAATGCTCTTCCCTCTTTCCTTTTTCTGTAGGCTCCATCTGATACATTTACTCGTACTACAGCATAAACTTTGAATACCTTCGCATAGCCCAGGTGTTGGTGTGTCGCCCCTACCAAATAATCCAGACATTTCTTGATGACTGAAATATTTTGCACTTAATTAATCTTAAATGCAACAAAAAGAGCAACAACAGCAACCGTCTAGGCGGTCACCTTCTATTACATACATATGTACATAAATATGAAGATATGAGCATGTACATATACTTACATACATATGTACATTTAAAGTGTTCATTCCTACCTAATGGATGTAGCTGTGAAGAAGAAAAATTGGACTAACAGCGTAAATAAATAATTACAAGCGAATGAAATGAGTGTAAAAATTAGAATGAAAAATTACCACAAAATGCCAAAACTAAAATTGTGCGCAATTAATCAAGGCCAATGGAGGATGGGGCAGATTAATCGAAAGCGGGCGGTCAGTGCGGGTGACAGAAGGTGAGCCCGAACAAGCATGAAAAAAAACTCGCGTGTAGATTTAATGCATTAACAACATGCAGCTCATATGAATATGCAACAAAAGTACTTGATTATAGTTGATTGTTGTTTTTTTCACGTCAGTACATACATATATACAATTTACTGTTTGGATTTAGGTACGTGGACTTCATTACATACCCAGTTTCATATAGCACTTTTGTATTTGTGCCGGACGGACGCGTGTCAATGGCATTGCTGGTCAGCAGCCGATCGCTAGCCCTTCATGCGGGCACTTCAACAGCTTTTTCTTTGTGTATGTGCGTATATGCGCCACGCCGCCGACCAATCACAGCATTGCCAATTGCTGCTGCACCGCCAGACATTAGNACTGTTTGGATTTAGGTACGTGGACTTCATTACATACCCAGTTTCATATATGTAGCACTTTTGTATTTGTGCCGGACGGACGCGTGTCAATGGCATTGCTGGTCAGCAGCCGATCGCTAGCCCTTCATGCGGGCACTTCAACGGCTTTTTCTTTGTGTATGTGCGTATATGCGCCACGCCGCCGACCAATCACAGCATTGCCAATTGCTGCTGCACCGCCAGACATTACACAGCCGGGACCTGCAGAGAGTGGTGGCTGAGGATTAGGAGCTTAACCGCCTAATGGGGTTGCTTAGGTGACATGCGTAAACACGCCCACGCAAGCAACCACTGCGACGACGACAATAACATTAACAAGTGTTGGTCGATAGTAGTAACGGGGGCAGGAGGCGAGTGGCTGATGAAGTAATAACAAAAATAAACTACCAACGCCTACACTTGCTGTAAGCTTTTATGCTTAGCCACTATTTCTGCATTCACACTCAGCTTGCAATTATGTATTGTGAGTAGCTTTAAGCGCCAGTACTGCGTTGCTTGCATGGGTGGGCGTGTGTTTATTGTTGCGGTGCTTTTATTTTTCCCGCTCTTTGTTAACCACCATTGTTGTTAGTTACGCTACACTCAGTAATGTGCGCGAGTAGAAGAGCGAGTGTTGTTGGCTGCCATTGCTTGTACCGTTACTCCAAAGCGCTGGGCTATGTGCAGCAGTTCGCTGTTAGTTGTTGCTGTAGTAGTATCTGATACTCTTGTCATTTCACTTAGCCAATTATCCAATAGGAATTACGCAGACACCTATACTTATCTCGCTCTTGCGCATGCTCAGTTGGCGGTGCGACGGCCATTTTGCGCTGCTTGCCTACTCTCTTTCGCGCACGTACGCGTCATCCTATGGCAAGAAAACCAGTTTTTCTACTTTTGAAATTCACCTCATGTGCGTGTTTATTCACCACACAGCATTTGTTTTTATTTTTTCTTCAGCAACTAGCTGTATGCTTTGCACTTTTGCAATGGCAATTTCTCGGTTGTGCCTCGACTATTGCTTTCGCATTCTGCCTCTATTCACCTCAAATGTCGATGCTGGTTGCGTGCATGCAACAAAAGTCACGGCATGTGGCATGCGATCTCTTGCTGTTGCACACAAGCAGCGTGCTGTGCACCATAGTAACGCCATAACGCTGGCAAGCAGCCTCACTACCACCACTGCTAGTACCTTCGCGTGTATGGAGTATCACTTCTAGAGGCAAGCAGGCAGGCAGCAATCAGCCAGCCACCAGTTAGTCAGAGAATTCTTGATGTTCATGCACATAAAGGTTTTTGTGGCAGTGCGTGTTGTTGTTATTGTCGTGCTACACCAACTGTGCGCCAGGCTGCGTGTGTGTGCCGAAGGAGTCAAGCCAACCACTGTGCACCCCGCATTCGCACAGCGTCGACCACGACGACAACACACACGACACGATACCACTCGGAACGGTACGGTCGGCCGCACGCTTGTGACTGTATGCAGTGGCATAGGTAATTCCCAATTGTACAGATCGCTAACGGAAACGAACGCAAACGCAGTTAGAAAAATTTCGTGCGCACCGCTAACTGACGGATCAACGGCTGTACAGAGCGCTGTTTAGACGGTACCGCGGTCGCGAAAATTATTTGAACAAAGTGAAAATCGTTTTGAAAATTTTCGAAATATTTAGCAAATGTGAATAGTCGTCAAAGAGTGCGCGAAAATTATTATTTTCGCAATTTTTGAAAAAAAAAAAAACCAATGAAATGCGACGGCAAACGAACGCAGTGATTTAATTAAAGCAAACAGTTTTGTGAAGATATTGACGCACTAAAGAAAATTTAAAATACTAAAACAGAATGTTGAACATTTTCGAATGTGTTTTTGAAAGAGCTTATGTGTTTATAAAAAATGTGCTCCGTGAAGCCTTAAACAATTTGAGTCTGCGGAAATACCAAATAGAGAACTAAGGCAGTTTGCGCAAACATACAAATAGTTTGAGAGCCACTGCTAACAACTTACCATTGACCTACTGCCGTTATCTACTCCGATCGACGCGTACATTCGAACACCCATACAGCCACAAACCCCCCTCTCTATCCCCCAAAGCAGCCTTCAAAATGATGATGAACGCCTTCATTGACCCTACACCCTCGCAGCACCACCTGGCCACCTATGGACTGCGTATGTCACCTACCACACCCACCAATCAGTCGGACATGCTGGGCAGCAGCGCGCAACAGCAGCACGCACAGCAACAACAGCAACAGGTGCAACAGCAGCAACAACAGCAGGCGCAGCAACAGCAACAAGCCCAACAGCAACAGGCGCAACAACTGGACACTAGCGGTCTGATGTCCTCAGCCATGTCGCTGGGCGCTAGCGTCAGTGACATGTCCTCATCCGTAGGCGCCTCCGCCGCCAGCGCGGCTGCCTACCAGAATAGCGGCTACAGCCACTTCAACACACAACTCGGCTCGGCGTATTCATCACCACGCGATTTTTTGCTTGGCCGCCGCACGGACAATGACTACATGTCCGGCGCTACCACATCACAGCTGGTCGGCCAAAGCGCCGCTACTACAGCCGCCACCGCTGCCGATTCTATGCTATTTCCCTCCTTTCCCGCCACACACGCCCAACATCCCGATCTGACAACGTCCTTCGGCAATCACCCCTTTCATGCGGCGGCCCATCACCATGCGGCAGCAGCGCATCATCATCAGCATCAGATGCGCATAGGCATGGCGGACTACGCGCACCCGTATGCACATCATGCGGCGCAACACCACACCAACTTCCCGTCGGTGCATCATCATCAGCATCCCGCCATGTCCATGCATCCGGCGGGCGCGGGCGCTTTTCTGCGCTACATGCGCCATCAACCGTCGGCGGCGTCGGCCATCAAGCAAGAGATGCAATGCCTTTGGGTGGATCCCGATCAGCCGGGCGGCCCGAATGGACGCAAAAGTTGCAACAAAATCTTCCACACTATGCACGACATCGTCACCCATTTGACAGTGGAGCACGTCGGCGGACCGGAGTGCACCACACACGCCTGCTTCTGGATTGGCTGCTCGCGCAACGGTCGGCCATTCAAGGCCAAATACAAGCTGGTCAATCACATACGCGTACACACGGGCGAAAAGCCGTTCGCTTGCCCGCATCCCGGCTGCGGCAAGGTGTTTGCGCGCAGCGAGAATCTCAAGATACACAAGCGGACGCATACCGGTAAGTCGTTAAACTAAAAAAAAAAAAATAAGATAAGGAAACAAAAAATTGTCAAATAGCTGCAACACCTGCAGGGTTGTGGGCAGTGCGTATACGCCTGCCGAGCGAAACGCGGTAGCACTGCAGCAACTGCAGGGGATGCCAATTTACTAGCAGCCTTAGAGCGTGCACGGCATTGCAATTCTATTTATTTGACTTCATTTGCGTTGCTTTTGCTCTGTTTTATTTTGTTTTAACTTGTTTGCCGTTTTCTCTTTGTTCGCTAATCGGTTTAAGTGACTTTGGGGCGGCGCCGTTGTAGGCGTACGCATTGATATTTGCGGACATGCAAAAATTTAAGCCTTTCGGGTCTACGCCTTTTTGGCTGTTGTTGTTTGGAGTGTTCAAACGCATTGGAATTTTGTTCGCTAGCGCGGAGAGTCAGTAAGCCAGAATCTGTCGGAGCTGGGTATTTCGTGGAAGGCTGAGGGAGTACCTGCAGAGTCAGCAGCATCGAATTGTCATGAAATGCCAGGTAGAGTTGTGCGGCTACAGAATGTTTATTAATTTTGCACATTTGCTTGACTCTAACTGCATTGTGCTTTGTCCAATATATTTTTTGGGAAACCCATAGCAAAGAAAGCATGTGCTAGCGCGCTGTTGAGTTAATCGATTTATGTTTAAGTAGGTACATACATATGCATGTCGGTATGTGTGTACATATGAAAAATAAAATTTGTGTGCGATTTCAGTTATTTATTTGTTAAATGGCTCACTAAAGCAGAATAAGCAGAAAGTTGGGACGAAAAGTTTTTAATTTGATACTTTTAGTTTTTAAGAAAAATAAGAATATTTTTGTATTTGCACTATGGTCTAAATAGTTTTTACATGTGTTAACATAATTTTTTCTTGTTGCAATATCGTAGAGAATACAGTAAAACACAGACGAGGTAACTTTGTGTTTTTAAAGCCAAAGGTAGAAAACAATCAGCAACCAATCTACTTATTTATGTTTAATTGAAAATGTGATTGAGCGTGGGACATAGTAAAGTGTAAATTTTATTTACTTATAAAAATATTAAAACACATTATTAAAAAAGTTGATTTTGAGACTAAGACAAAAGTTATTATTTACTAAAATTGTATGAAAATAACATAAAAAATCTCACCTTTTTTGCACCTAATAAATTATTAGATTTGCCTCAAATCTTTAGTTTACATAAACCTTGCAAATTTTGGCCAGGCTTTCCATTGCCACTGTGTAAATGGGTTTTAGTCTAAGTGACATTTGTTTTTCCTTTTATTAAAAAAAATACATTCAATAAAATAAAATAATAAGTGTCTCCTTTAGACCCCTCAGTGGTCAAAGGTAAAAATATTTTTTTTTTTTTACAAAAATGTGGGAAATCATATGACAATAAAAAAACTCATGATATTTTAAATCATTCACTTGTTTAGCCGTAATAAGTCTTGGCTAGAAAAACAGGCATTTAGACCACAGTGCATTAAAATATGTATAGAGAAGTTTTTCTAATTTTTTCACAAAAATCATTGTTTTGTGTTTATTAATTTCATTCTGCCTCAAAAATGCATTTTTAGCCAAGCCCAAATCGTTGATTTAGAGACATATTATTTATTTCTTTATTTAAGTAAAACGAAACATTAATTTTTTGCCGATTGTAGAAAACAATTGCTTAGCAGCTCCTTAATATAATTATACAGAAGGTTTCGGATTGTTCCAGGAGACAGAAATGGGTCGAAGTTAGGTACTACATTATTTAACTCATATAAGGTTCAGGACATGGGAAGAAATTTGATGTAATCAAATTTAGGATCTTCGGTGTAGAAGGAGCGATCATGTAGGAGATTCGGATTTTCGGAAATAGAGCAGTTACATTTGTCCAGTAGGGCATAAAGCAAAGCTGAATGCGAAAAAGGAGGAAGAGGTATGTGGGATTATCAAAATTAAAAGAACGGCGTGAAAGCTTTGGCCCCTATTATGACTTGCATCGATCTTCGAATGTGGTCGAATTTTGTTATTATGACGCTCATTCGATGAATCATAGCGCTATTGTGAATTTCGCTCGTTTAGGTTGTTCACAATAGTATATTTTTCACCGCTGAGAAGCTTTGTTTACAATCGAGCAAACTAAATAGTGTACTTATACATATTTATGTAAATTTGTGCAAATTAAAATGAAGTAAAAAAGAAAGCGAGTTTATAAAAACGTGGTA